TATGTTCAATAAATAGGTTTTCTATGACAATAAAAAATGATAATGAAGCAGCTGATTTGAATGGAGATCAAACTGCACTCACACTCAAATAGAAACGCTTTTAATAAGATCTCCTCCGCTCCAGCATTCAGCTCTTCTCCTCACGCTGAGCACATTTGAAACGTCTGCTCTCTGACTTCTCCTCTGCTCTTCGATTTTTGTCTGTTAACATTCCCCAACCAGTAGATTGCCAGGTTCAGTGGGTGTGTTAGCTTAACATCATTGTGATCACCTGTTCTGTTGGTTAGCCTGAAGATAAAAACTACAACACCTTCATTGAGTCCTGCAGATCGCTGGTCACCATGGTGCAGCAAAATCAAGGATCTCAACTTTCTTACATTATGGGAACGCTGTTGCTAGCAAGTATTAAACTAAATAGACACAACCCTGTTTCTCTTCCTCCCCTGTATTTTATGGGAACAGCACCAAAAGCAATTTCATCTGTCATCACTACACCTGGCATTCTTTTGTTTGGGGAATTTTGAAACATTTGTTGCACAAAAATATTTAAGCACTAAAGAAAAAAAATCAGAGAGCAGACATTTCACACATGCACAGAAGCAGCGTGAGCGCAAAGAGAAGAGTTGAAGCTGGAGCGCAGGGAAAGCACAAGCAGGGTATATTTGAGTGCGAGCACAGGGTTTTGAGTGACAGCATGGAATCAGTGAGTCCTACTCTCAAACTGAAGGACCACACCATTGAATAAAGACCTGGAAAAAAACACGTAAGGGCTTCCTTTCCTGTGTAGTGTTTAAGCGTCAAAGTATTAATTCGTATGTGGTTCGATAAAACATGAGCTGTCGCATTGACGCACTGCAGCTCACAGAACGAAACAACCTCTATACTGTTAACAAATGACTCAGTTTAAGTAGTTGTTAGCTTGTGACTTCTATAATGAATGCTAACATATGTCTTCAGATTCTCTCTATGCTTTTTATACAGTGTTTGTCTCCAACTTCATTCATGAACACATCAGAAGGACAGGACAGTGACAGGGACGATGAAAGGAATCATGAGAGGGAAGGGGATGTTATATATAAATAAATGATATAGTACAATTTCTGACAGCTGTCTGTATGTGCATCAGACCCTTCACCTCATCTGGTAGAGAATCACCTCCTTCTCCCACTAGTCTATACCAAGCACGTACACTCCTTTTTGTTTCTGTCATGCTGTTGAGGATTTTTGCTTTTGCTTTTTGTTTTAAAGTGCAGTCCAGATGCAGGTGACTGAAATGCACAGAGAGAAAGATGAAGTACAGATAAACCCCAGAGGCTGATGACACTGGGACTGGCAAAAGATTGGCACATGTGTCAGAGAGGTCTGGTGTGGAGGTGGAGGTGGAGGAGGAGGAGGAGGAGGAGGAGGAGGAGGGCAGGAGTCTGGGGTCTGCTGGGCTGAAGGTTAAACAAACAGTCTCATCCTATTCAGTCTCATCCTCTGTCAGCGCGGAGTCACTCTCTGGACTGGTAGAAGAGGATGTATCCTGACTCAGAGTTCTTGGAGATGTCTGAGGTAAGCCCGTAAAACTCCTCGATGGCCTGGGCGTCAATTTTCTGCAATAACAGAAGTGAAATGTGGTTTAATTGATGAACAAAATCAACAGGAAAAGTGGTAAGTCAAGGAACATCAGGCAGACAACAGTCAGAGAGAGAGAAAGGGTGACGCACCTCCACAATGTCATCATCAAACAGCAGCCAGAAGCCATGACTCTTCACTATGGTGATGTAATGACCTCTGTTTGGACCACTGAGGAAAACCACAGAGACATTGAGTGACCCTTGATGTTTTCAGTCATAAACCATAAACTTGGTCCGGACATTTACCAGAGTTTGCCTTTCACATCTGAACAACGCAGTACCCTAACGTAACGTAGTGGGTAGAGCATGCAGGACTTGATATGAATGAATTCAGCCCCAGCATTAGTTCTTCTTCTGACATCTTCATCGTAATGTTTTATTTACAGACCGATAAACAGACTAGAACACAAGCTCCTTAACAGAGGTAAAAAGAACTATATTTTCTTGATTATTGAAAACAGAACTGTTGATGTCGGAGCGTATTGATACAACAGTGAGTGCGCAAACTTCATGTGTAAAATGGGTGGGGTGCCCCTTTAATTCATACTAGTAAGGACGAACTGTACCTGCCACAGTGAACCACCACAGCAACTAGATCATACATGCGATCCAGGTTGACCGCGTCCCCAGACGTGTTGAACAGACGCAGTTCCAGGGGGAACACCACTCTGTAGGACAGCTTGGTGTAGCGGTGCAGCTGCTCCATGTACTTGAACCTCTTCAGGTGCAGAGCCAGGATCATAGGAAGTTTCTTCACACGCATCCTGCAGAGAAGTACACACATGTTCAGTGTGTGTCTGACCCATTACAGCGGTGATGTGAGCTCGGGGCTTTACTCACCGTTTCTGTGCTTCCTGCTTGCTGCAGCACGTCTCACAGTAGTATTTGTACTCGCTGCACAAAGTCTCTGTGTTACTGAAGTCCCTGAAGGGGAGAGCGTGCCACAGGAGGCTCAGTTATTTACCTTCAATTATCCAGTGTATGACAATATAGAAGACAGTTTACCGTCAGCTAGGGTGGGTATTGTTTGGATTTGTTTCCAATACAGATGCTAAATCAATATATTTCAAATGTGACTGGGGCCTTAAACGTTCAAATTTCTTTAAAACCGCACAAAGCAACGGTCGATAACAGATTTTTATTGCTAAGGTAAATTGGAAGTTGAAATTAACATATTAACTAAATACTTAACTTAAATACATACAAATATAAATTCTAAACAAATTAACATAACGAAATCACATTATTAATAAAACAATAAAAAAGTAATAATACATAAAATTGCTTAAAACAGAAAAATACTTCAGCTCTTCCCTCCACCGGGCCAGGGACACACACAGGGATGAAGTGACGAGGTCACACGAGCAGTCGAACACAGTGAATCTCTCTGCTTTCAAATGCATCCTTGTATTACCAGCTCATTCATTGAGTTTGTTGTGCTCCTCCCTTTGCACAGAATTGTTTCCAAACATTCGCTGTGTTGAAATCCTTTCACGTAAAACGCAGACCAACCTCTGACCGTTGAGCTTTAGGCATTTTGTTGTCACATTGACTAGAGTGTATGCTAACGTCACGTGCTGCCAGAGCCATGTAGAGTGTGTGTTCCCACCAGAGTTAGGTGTGATGTTAACCAGGCTCGTGTTGTTTACAAGTTCAGAGCTCATGCACAGAAATGAGGCATTCAAATCTGCGTTGTGAGTTGGTCCAATAGGATTTCAGAACACAACCCTCCCGTCAGCCTGGTGGCTGTGACTGAATATGCAACAATGAGCCCAATGCAGAGTAAATGCATACTACCTGAGACAGTGTGTTATTGATGTGTTCTGCTCCACATCCACAGAAAGATCCAGAAAATCCTCGTCTTTGCTGCTCACCTGTCACACAGAGGGAGAGGAGACTAAACTGTCATTTTCTGTGACTGAGTCAGTGAAGATACCACACACACACACACACACACACACACACACACACACACACACACACACAGTCTTTGAAATGCTTATTATGCTGAGTAGCTTTTGTCTCTGCACAGTGCATCGCCTCTGTGTTTGCAGGGGTTGTTCAGGGCAACTCGTCCCACTCCTCGCCCTCGAATCTGAGGACAAAGCTTGTGGCGATCCTGACGTAAACTGGGTGGTCAGAGTCTACGGGTTGTGTTCACTTAATCAGTTGTTTTTTTTTTATTTTGCATCTCTCAGCGTTTCTTTGAAGGGCTAATCCCCTTTTCAGACTTATTCAGGAGACACCTCTGAGTCAGGGTGATACAGGGACTCGGCAGCAGTGTAGACAGAAAATATTAAATGTTCTAACCATCTTAAAGAACTCTTTAAAATAAAGCAGGGGCACTGACCGTTTCACAGTTGAGGCAACGCGTCTCATTGGTCAGAGTGCCTTGGAAGATATCATGAACCCATGTGGGCTCTGTCTTGTTCTCCGTCTCTGTCTCTGTGGTGACCGCGGTGCCATTGTTCTTGAGGCGTCCGTTCTGCCTCTCCTGCTTCTTCTCCTCCTGCAGGATGTCAGCCACTGTGTTCAGCAGGTAGTTTAGGAATTCGTGTGCGTCCTGTTGCATGTAGTTGTCAAATAGATCTGGAGGGAGATACAGAACAACATGAAGGATGATGACTCATAGAAGAAGATCGAGGATGTACAGAAAAGTCAAGGCCTCTGATTCCAGCCAGTTGATAGAGGGGAATATCTGTCCATTTTGATATTTACATTTCTGGACTTGTTATTCCTGCTCCTTGCAGGCCCATACAAAAGACATTTTAAACACAGAGATGCATTTTGGGAACAGGCTTGTTTGTTTTCTGTTTGAAAGTTGGATAGAAAGATACCTATTTTATATCTGTCTACCAAGAATTACATTATCATCCATGATCTATACTGCTTATGCTTTAAGGGTTAGAGCCACTACCAGCTGACACTGGGTTAGAGGCAGGGGACACCCTGGACACCAATGTATCACTGGGCTGACATATAAGCTGCGTTCAGACAAGCACTGAGAACTGAACATTTCCATAGGGGCTGTATGTGTCCATGTCAGTTGCCCCAGACATATCTGGAACTTTTCCTGCAAGTCCCCTTAAGTAAAATGTCCGAGTGAGTCCATGTCAGACTACAGCGGGAAAACTTGAGGAAAATGTACAGCGAGCGAGTGCGTGTTTCTAAGACTGATGTCGACTTAGAAATAAAAAAAGATTTGTGTGTTAAGAGCTGATGCTGTAATCTGAAACACAGCAGGTTTTACAGATCATGTCTTCCTGAATGCTCTGCCCCAGAAATTTGATGCTCATGTCTGAAAACATATTTAGAGAAAAATAATTTTCCACACTAACAATAAAGACAATTTAAAATGTCAAATCAACCCAATCCCCAATCTGCATGGCTGTGGACTGTGGGAGGAAGCTGATGAACCTGGAGAAAACCAAAGCAGACACGAGGAGAACATGCATACTCCAAACAGTAAAACCCCGGCTGTACCAAGATTTGAACCTAGAACCCTCTTGCTGCGAGGATACTGCCCAGTATAACATTATGTTTAAGTCCATTAGTGAGCTTTAGATGTGCTGTTTCCTCCTGTTTCCAGACTTTATGCTAACCTTAGTTAAACCACTATTAGCTATATATACACAGCAACACTGTACAGATGGTTTTTATTTATTATTATGGTAACACTTTTTATTAGGGAACACATATCAACCATTAACTAGTTGCTTATTAGCATGGATATTAGAGGCATATTGGCTCTTTATTAGTCATTATAAAGAACTTATTAATGCCTTATTCTTAATCACCTTATTCTGCAACTACTCCATTGATTAACAGTTTTCCCTTAATAACCACCTAATTACTGCTTATTGATGGTAAGTAAGGAAGTTGTTGTACATGAATTACAATCAAGTGCTTGGATATGTTCACTTTGTGTGTTCCCTTACATGAAGTGTTACCGACATTATTAATAACATCAATAACAATGACAAACTGACACATAGCATTACTGTGGTCATTTTATTGAGAATTTCTGTCCTGGGGATGTAAATAAAAACAGGCTCCACTGATGAAATCAGTCACGGTACACGCTCCTGTTTGACAGATCCGTATGTGAAAGGTGAAAACTGAGAAGAGGGGGATCGGGGGAAGGGAGAGAGAAAAATTGAAGAGGCGAGCAGAGCAGGCAGCTGACCAAACAGAGATTGCATTGTTCATTCACATAAAGAGCTTCCTCAATATGGAGGGCAGAGAACAGTCGGCCTCTCTGTCAGCTCGACTCTGAACGACCTTACCACCAGCATACACCTGTCCTTCACCTCAAATATTCAGAGCACATTAAACCAACACAGCTACTGGACGACGACTCAGAACCACACATCTCCACTCTCTGACTGTGTGAGTGTGGAGAGGTGAACTGTGTGGCTGAGCAACAGAAATTGCTGATTGTTAATGTTTACACATTCTTCCAGAACTCCAAAGCCCACATATATGTAGACCAATAAGACATGAAGTCCAAACAAATGTCTGCAAATTGTTTTGCTCTGCCTTTCACAAATGAAGAACGCAGCAGGTGGTTGTCCAGATCAGACGTGTTCACACCAATAGGAAAATGTCCAGATCATTCAGGTGAAGGGTGTAGCCTGGGTAGAGCATGCAGGAGGCAGGACGTGACGTATAAATTGTGCTATAGAAATCATTGGGTTTTTTGTTTACAGCACATCAACACCAGCATCGGCCCTTATCACCAAAAGCTCTCAACTCCTTTTCTTTCTAAGTTGACATCTTCTACATATATGGCACCTCTTTTTCATCCTGACATATTTGTAGGGAAGTCATGTGACCAGAAATTTAATTTAGTAAAAGGTATAGCTCAATGTCTGTGGAAAACAAAAGCAGAGGCTACACACACACACACACACACACACACACACACACACACACACA